TCATAAATGGTGTTGTTTGTCTAATGTAGTTTGATTATGTCGACGGTGCTCTTCGCAGTGTTTGGTTTCCCGTTGTCATGTTTTTTTGTCTCCTCTCGGTAGTTGTGGTGATTGAGCCATGATGGGTTCTTCTTGTTGGGCAACTGTCTCTAAGGCTTCCCATAGGAGTTGTTTGGTAGTCTACGATAATTTTTAGGGGTTGCACGAGATAGATGAGTCAGACTGCTTGGGGCCTGGTTGAGTAAAAATGATGGAAAAACTATGCTCGCATGTAATTTGGTCATCTACATGGTGGTTGGTAAGGTTTGAGATCATACATGATGGCTTGTTTGTTTGTGGGGACTTTTCGCATGCGTTGTGAGAGGAGGATGCAACCTGGCACGAAAAAGGAGGGAAACTTTACCACCTCGTGGTCCATGTGAGTCTGCATGAGTGGAAACAGTTGATTCAGCCGTTCCTCCTCAGCTAGGCCCAGTGGTACTTTAAGAAGCGTGTTATGTGGAAATCTAATGCAACCCAAGTAAGCAAACACGACGCAAAGTAAAAGATATCTATCACATGCAGTTTACCTACCACCGTGCAAACTACCAAAGGCATCACTAGTGACCACTCTTACCACCGTGCAGACTACCAAAGACATCACTAGTGACCGCTCTTGTTTCTCCTCTTTTGTGTGTGTGTGTGTGTTTTCTTCTTTCTTCTTGTGTACCCCAGAGTAACCGCTCTTGTTTCTCCCCGTGATTTCAGTTCATTTGAACCCATTTGTAAAGCGTGAAAAAATGGATGCAATTCATATGTTAAAAAAGATAGATTTTTACTCCTGGTGTTCTTTGTACTCTTTGTCTCAAAATAAACGACTCAACTTTGTACTAATTTTACTATAAAGTTGGTAATTTTGTACTAACTTTAGTATAAAGTTAATATAAAGTTGAGTAATTTATTTTAAAACGGAGGGAGTACTATCTTAACAATTGATGAATAGATCAAAAGTTTTCGCCACATAAAAAACAGATTTATTGATTTGTAATAAGAAAGAGCGTATATGTCTTACTTTAAGATCAACTATCTCGGTTTCAAAATATATAACGTGTTGGTAGGCTAAATTAGCCTACCAAAACGTCTTTTTTTACACTTACCAAAATATATTTTTGAACGGAGGTAGTACTACGTGTTTTTAGACAAACATATTTGTCTATTGGGACTCTATGGCTGAGGCGACTCGGCCCGCCTTTTTTTAGACAATGTAGCCCACAGTTTCGAGTGTATATGCTTGTGGACTTGAATGTTCGGACAATATTTGAGGGATATCTTATTTGGCGCTTCA